GGGGGCGTTTTGCTGTTTCCGCAGTGCGAAAGAAGTCCTGCTACGTGTCTGTGTCTACCTCTCTGGATCTGCTCGAGTGGGGGTATGCGGGCGGGTTTATTTATAGGGAGTGCACACAGGAGAACCTTTTGTGTCGCTGCCACTGCCACTGCCACTGCCACTGCATACGAGTGGGGCAGAGTCACCTGAGCTGCGAGCAAATGCCGTTCGTTGCCAATGAATCGATAGATTCATTCCTTGATTTTACATGACTCGAGCATTTTTAATTTCTAGAACTTTACTGCCTACGACTTTTGCCAGCTTTCATTTGACTTTGAACTGGCTCAAGTTGCTCATAAATTAAGGAGATTTCCATGGATTAAAAATCAAGTTTGACGTTAAATAAGCTCCGACACTAAATGTACAGGGCAGATGATCCTAGCAATTATTTGTTTTGAAATTTTCTCTAGTTGCTAAATTAAACTAATACAAATAATTTGTTTACTCAAATAAATCGTTTCATAATAATATTAAAAGTCCCTTCCAGCTCTTCCTCATCCTCCTGCTAGGAAAAAGGAATTTTATATTTTCACCAAGAAAAGTTAATTAACGAAAATACTTTATGCCGCAAATTTGAAGCTAAAATATGTACATGCACAGTCTCATCATATTTGCAGCAAAATGCTGCCCCGCTATCAAAATTCTTTGGCGCAATTTTCCAATTAAGTTTGACAAAAGCATAAATTTGTTTGCCCATGCCGGATAATCGTTTTTCAATGGAAAACTGAATCAACCAAGGGGGGAGGGATGTGTGTATGCGTAAATCCTAAAAAGCCATAGACAATCTTCATCCTCTTTTGTGTGTTTGTGTGGCAGCCAAAGTTCCAGCTGCTGTGGAATGCGTCGCCCAAGTTCTATGCTGCGGCTGAAGTTATGCCAGAAGTTTTGTGCCGTGTGTCCCGTCTTTCTTATCCCATTTTGTATGCCACGATTTGGCACAGGGTCAAAGGCTGGCCGCATTGATAAGGTTAAGCCGTTCCCTTTGGCTGCTTCTCAGTGCCGCTCGAGTAGGCAGGATTCCTACAGCTCCGGCCAACATCCTGCGACTGCCCCACGACGTATGCAATAAATTGGCTTGCCTTGAAGTTCCACACGCGCACACACAAAACACACACACAGAGCACAACACACACACACACACACACACCTTTAAAAGCTTTCAATGGACTTGCTCCATCCACTCTCCAGGCTCTCCCCGCTGGCTTTGCCGCTTAGGCTAAACGGTTAATTCGCCAAAACACAAGCGGCAAACAAATTGTCGAGGAGTGGCGAGGGCCAAGGCTAGGGCTGGGGCTCGGGAATTGGCCATTTGTATGAAACCAAATCGAAATGACATTTCGGTTTAAGTGAAAAGGAACAAAAAAGGAGAAGCCAATTTCAAAGCACACGAGGCAGAACAGGAAGCACAAGAGGTAGAGGCAGAGGCAGAGGCAGAGGAAGAAGCGGAGAGCTAGGTGGCAGCCGAACTAAAGGCCGTAAAGGAATAAACCAAAAAAAAAAAAGAGAAGAGGAAATGGCAGAGGCAAAACAGGAAGCAGCGGCCGCAGCCAAAGGCAAAGTAAAAGTTAAACGGAAGAGAGAAGCAGATACACTGAAAAAAATGTATTTTAATTGAAGAGAAATGTTTGACTGTATTCAATGAAAGACCGCGCTTCTCGCTCTATAATTTATTTCCAGTACAATTTGTACACACTTTGGATTAACGTGATGTCCAAGCAGTTTCCATTTGTACTGCATTTTCTTTACGTGTAGCACTCAATAGCTGCAGAAGTGGCTAAAGAAGTGCCGGAGGAGCCCTGTAGGCAGAAGTAGCTGCCGCAGACAAAGCCAGAGCAAAGAGCAGGGGAGCAGCAGCACAGACCCCAATTCAAGCAGTGCCACAAATTGCAGTGGCAAAAGAATTAGCAACCAAGAATGAGACCGAGATCGAGACTGCGACTGCGACTGAGAGACCGAAAAAAGCGCCGATGGGCGAGGCGAAACAAATGGCCAGCAATTGGCTTGGCCAATAAAGCATAAAGCCGTTAAATTCGAAAATCAATAATTCCACTCCACGGCCGGAATGTTTCCGCCAATTGTGTCCTACATCCGGGGTATTCATTACGCTTTAAGTGGCTGAGCCTGAGGCTGAGGCCTGAGCAGGTCCTTGGTGGTGTGTCTGTGTGTGCGCGCGTCAAATGAAGGACGACAAATTGCCAAACGCGCCACGAACATTAAACAATTTTGCAATTTGTTTCCATTATTTTAAGCTGCCTTCAGTGGCAGGCAGGCAGTGAGTCGAGCAGCCATCAGCTCACCTCATCTCCCCGCCCTGCCATCATCTTTGGGACACACCCCAAAGGACAGGGAGGGCGTGGGTGTGGCAGGCATCTTCTTCCTTGCTCATAATTGTGTCAAGGAGGTTCATTCGCAGTCATTAGCTACAGAGGGCGTGTACATGAGCACCCCCAACACCCAACGTCGCCCCCTTCGCTGACGCTTTCCCGCTCTCTTGCACTCATCAACGTGTGCGATGGCCTTGTCGGCTCGTGCTCTGTCACAACGTGCCACACTCCCTGTACACCCTGCCCACTGTTTCATGTGTCATGTGAAACAGCTGTTAATGATACAAGTGTCTCCGTTTATTTCGTAAAATTTTACATTTTATTCTCCCACTCTCTCGCGACCGTTGTCTTCGTGTGGCCGTTTCGTCTCTTAATGTCTCTTGTGAAGTGTTGGCGAGGCCATTTACTTAAGCTAAATGCCTACATGATGTCTTTCTGTGTGTCTGTCTGTCTGCATGATGGAACATAATCTTTGATGTGGGGCGGAGAGGATGGGACAAACAGCGATCGAATTAGTTTGAATATTACACAAAAACAGTGGGCATTGACAGCGTTCCTCCTAGTTAAATTAGGAAGCAACAAATAAGTTATTTATTGTATTCTTTCTAGCTTCAAATTCGACAAATAATAATTAGTTTTCTAACAAATTATTGCATGTAGAATACGTTTGACGCTCATTAGCATAGAATGATTGTAAAATCTCTCATTAAAAGTCTTTTAATCTGTTAATGCACATGAAATAGGACATTTCCATTGATCCAACCCCAAATCCAATTGAGTTTAAACTTAATTCTGTTGTTGATGTGGATTAAGTGTCTGACATTTCATTTCAATATGTTTATACAGCTTAAACATTTCGGTGACAAAGTTGCCCAAAGGGGGTGAGGGAGGATTGGCAGGGTACAACTCCTTTCTCACAACTTTTCGGCAACCGCAAAATGCTGGCAACATTTGTCTAAGCAGATGCTGCCCTTCAATCAAGACAATCCCCCTGCCAATTTGATAATCCTCTAACCATCTCCATCCAACATCTGGGCCCTGTTAACACATTTGCTTGGTCCACAGAAGCCGCAATGCCAAAGTCTGTCTGTCAAGCGAAAAACTACGAAAACTGAGACATCGATAAGGCCTTAAGAGACTTTGACTTCTACTTCGTATTACCCACTTGCCTCGTGACTCTCAATGGGTCTTCAATGAAACCAATGGAAGAAGGCAGAGGTGATGCCACGTTACAAGCTTTGGATACCCTGGCAGACAAATGGATTTAATGAAGAATTTACATTGGATTTTATGAGCATAAAGCGAAGGGCCACAAACATTTTCTCATTGTAAACATTTAAAATTGCTTAAAAAATATTTAAACCTTTTTCAAGGGTACCAAAAATTGCCAAAGGCTTGAGGCAGTAAAGAAAGAGAGAGAGAGAGAGAGAGAGAGAGAGAGACTTGCTATAGACACGTGCAGCATTTTGGGCAAGCCAACGGTATCCGCATGCCAGAGAGACGAAGTGCAGAGTGACTGAATAAATGAGTGAATGACGAATTGGTGAGTGAGTGAAGGAGTGACTGAGTGAGTTCGAATAATTTGTAGTCGTGGCAGTGTACCCTGCCGCCACGTACACAGGGCAATGTTAGGGGCATGGCCTGATGAATATGTTGAAATCAATCAGGTTAACCGAAAAAGCATTGACACGTTTTCTCCAGCTCTCCAGCTCTCCCTCTCCCTCAATCTCTTCCCTCAATTGGCTCATGATATGTGACTTGGATACGTGAAAATTGCATTTCATTTTCTCTCTCTCTCTCTCTCTATGTCTCTATGTGTCTCATATGGGAAGACGTCACGTCATGTCTTGTCATGTCAGGTGCGTGGGTGTGTGGGTGGGTTTACGGTTATGTGTCGCATGTGTCGCCCCCCATGTGCCCTGTCATCTTCAGTGTGCGCAGTGGGGCTCTGTTGCATTTGACATTTCACTGTTGTATTTATTAAAGTTGAAAGAAAAAAAACAACAGCAACAAAAAGAGAATTTTTCCTCCTTCGTTTCCCATTCTCTTTATTCTTGCTATCTTGTGTACCTCTCCCATTCGTTTTCTTTGCGTAAACTTGTTAAAAACTCATTACTATGTTAACAACAGGTCCAAAGTCTGTTTTTGTTGGTTTTTTTTGAACACTTGCAGGGGCAGTTTCATCTGGCTACAAGCTGCCAAAGATCTTTTCAATTCAAAATTATCCCATAAGTAACTACAGCATTAAAAATCCCTCCAATTTATTTTAATTCATAGTTGGCAATTAATTTGTATTTGTTAGTAAACAGTGAAATTGTACAGATTTCGGGAAAATTGCCACTGGTAATTATTCGGCATTTGCTTGTATCGCTTAAATAGAATATCTAGAAAGCCAAATCTGAAAGGAAAACTGATTCTCTCCCTATATTGATTCCTTATTAAACAGCCAAAGATTTATTAACATTGTTACGCACATAAAACAAAGTGAATTTCTTACAAAAGTGTTGCAGCAACCAGCACCATTAGCAGTCCATCAGGGCCAACATCGTGTAAATCTATGTACCGTGTTATGTAAATGTGTATTTTTCTTTAAATTTGTACTTATATGCTGAAAGATCAGCATTCCCTGCACCGCCTTTACCCTCCTTTGCGCGCTTTGCAGCTGTCCCTTTGCTTTTTGTTTGGTTTATAGAAAATAGTGCCAGATTTGGCGATGCGGCATTCGAGCATCGCCGTGGAGAAATTCTCACGATTGCCCAACTCCTGAAAGCCTACAATAAAGCCCACCACTATTCCGTCCTTTACCAGCATAGTCTCGGGTACATGATCGATGCGCAGACGTTTGTGCAGAAATTCAGCATTCTCGATGTTCAGTTTGCAGAACTTGGCCTCCCGATGCTTGGCGGCCAGGATCTTCAGGTGTGTGTCCATGATGCGGCAATGTCGATTGCCCGCACGATGGAACAGCAGCACAATATTGGGCGCATGTTTGGCCATTTCGAAGAACTCCCTCTCGCTGGCCAGTTGGATGTAGAGGCCATTATGGAGCCAGTCTTGCGGATTTTTGTTGGCGGCCATAATTGAGAGATATTTTAGCTAAAATAAGCTAATTAGAAGGAATTTTAGGATTTTGCAATTTGAAATATATTTAAATAACAAACTTTTTTGTGGCGCTCAGAAATTCTGATTTTTCTAGTTTTGCCAGTTGTGAGCAACTTTGAAGTATTTGTAAAAGAAAACTCACTGGCTACTGAGATACGAATTTTATTTATTAATTTATGCACTCATTGACCAAGATAAATCCTGGCTTACAATCAATAGTTGTTGCCGGTGTAAGTAGGCCCTTAGGCTGACTGGAAATTAACTTTAACTCCTGTAAATCACAGTAAAACAGCCTAAAGTACATACACAAGTAATCCTCGATTATGGTTCGGGAAATATTGTTACAAATATTTACATAAGCTTACGCCTAAGCTGCTCTCGCGTTCTATCTCTGGGATTGTCTCTTGATGCATCGCTCTTCTTTTTGTCTCTCACAGCGTAGCTTAGCAGCAAAGGACTCTCCATGTATTTAGATGTAAATTTATAAATGCAGAGCCGCTGCATCAAAGGATATTGTGTCCAAAGAGCTGTCGTTCCCATTCTTGTTTGTTTTTGTTGTGCGCTTCATGTGGTTCGGACACTGTCTGAGTTGGTGTCTGCGTGTGTGTGTTGTGGCACTTGTGTATCGCATATCAATTAAAAGTTTCGCCCCAAGTTGTAATCAGTTTGAGTGGAGTCTCTGCCCAGTGCCTGCCTCTGTGTGCTGCCTGCTTTTGGGCGTGCCCAAGTGATTCGGCTAATGATTCCGGCTCCGCAAACACGGACACGGCCCACAGCATTTTTTGTTGTTGTTACATTCGCTTTGTTTTCCGTTTTACTGAATGATGCCAAGGGCTTTCAGGGAGAGGCAGCGGCAGCGGCAGCGGCAGGAGCGGCATCTCTACTGCTAATGGCTGCTCTAATTGGTTAGATTAAAGGTGGCTTTAAGTGGCAATCGGATTGTTGGCTTCATAAGCGGATAAACGTGTAATTATTTGACGATTTTAAGTGTGTAAAGTGTGCTTCAAATTCAACAAGGAGGGAAAGAGCTGTCAAAATAATTGAATTATTGCATTATTATCCCAGAAATGGTTTCCCTTGCTTATATTTTTGCAATAAATTGCATTCCACAGCCCAAAGAAAGTCGCAGCAGCCGACAAATCAATAAAATTAAAGCAAAACCTTGAGCAATAAAAGCCGAGCTCCACTGCACTCCTCCCCCGTCCCGCCCGTGGGCTGTGGAGCTGCTGCAGCCATGTGCCAGCCATTTAGTTCGATCGTTATACAAAAAAACACTCTCTCTGCATGTGTGTGTGTGTGTGTGTGTGTGTGTGTACAGCTATAGCCATATCCATATAGACACGACGGCCCATAACTACCCGAAACCGTCGCATATCGCTATATCGATATATCGGGGCAGTGCTGTGGCCTGGCCTGCGGTTGAACGTGATTTTTCAAATGTCACGCACACACGGAATGATATGCGGTGGATGGTAGAGTGTGCGAGTGTGGGTGTGGGTGGGGGTGTGGGTGGGGGTACTGCAAAAACAACAGTAAATCTGTTTTGCGTGGGTGGGAGAAAAATTCAATGAAACGCTTTCGCTTGAAAAACTGGCAGCGATAACAGAAGCCAACCAACCGAAGCATTCATAAAACGCCGCTTATATAAACGTGAAACTGATAGAACGCATCGGATAATGGTGCATAATGTAAATGGATAACTGGTTGCAGATTGCACAGGGGGATTGTTACGTGAGCTCAAACATGGCAGATCAATCTGTCAAACGTAACTGGGAGAACTGAGAGTGCAAAAGTGCAACGCTCGAACTAGGGACAGCTGGAGGATCTACTGGAGTATACTTGAGGATTTAGGACTTGGACATTGCAATAGATATTTTATGGATAATTAAGTAATGGGATATCTGTCTAGTCCGAAATTCAAACATTTACCTCAGCGCCTGTCGGCAAACCTTGCTCCCAAGATGCACAAGTGAATGCTGCAAAAGAGAATGTCTGAGAATGGTGCAAAAAATAAAGTAGATGCTGATTAGTGTTCTTTCCGTTTCAAATACAGAAATATCTCTTAGCTTCCTGGCACGACCCTTTGCATAAAGAAAACATATTGGAACTGGAACCTTGGGTGCTTGCCACAGAGAGAAAGAGAGCACTTTCTCTATATGATCCATGCCTGTGTGTTTCCATTTTTTTACTTTTACTTTGTGTTAAGTGTAATTGAAATGAGCGACAACGACTATGGCTATGGCGACGGCAATGACGCGACTTCAAGCAATTTTATTTCATTGTGCCTTCTCCTCCTCCGCCTGTGGCACGTCCAGTGCCGCTGCCTGGCAGCGTAATTTCTTTTCAATTAACAATAACGAAACGAAGCGAAATTGGTAAAAGCAAGAGTACTCTGTACTAGTAGCTGCACAGAAAGCTGCTGCTGCTGCTGCTGCTGCTGTGAGGGAGTCGCTCTACAAAATAATAAAAAGAAAAACAATAATAATATTTGCACAAACAAACAAACATACAAATTGTGTTTAATTTGTGCCACAAAAGAGGGGCCCGACCCGCAACCATTCATCACTCATCATGCCATGGCCCACCTTTTCTTTCAGTTAAGCCCCACGGAACTGGGACATTTTGCAAAAAGCTTAACTTTATTTTCCGTATGTTTGTGTACAAGTTGGTCTACTGTTTTCGTTCAGCACTACACAGCTCTACGGCTCTACTCCTCCTGTACTTTGGTTCTCGTTGCTCATTCTGGTGCTGTTATCGCTCGTCATCAGACTTTTGCTGTCTTTTCATTTCATTTCATTTGATTTCTTTTCATTGCTTCGCACAATTTCCGCAGCGACATTTTTTACAATTGTCCATGACTGTCATACTGACAAACACTGTGAGAAATAAAACAGGCAACACCTTGCATAGGATTAGGTTTGAGAATAAAAATAAATAAAGTAAATGCACCCGTGAGTGGTGTTTGGAGTTATTCTGGTATGTTTAGCTTGAGGATTATGCTGTTTAAACGTTGCGCTCTTGGAATTCTTTCTTCTTTCTAAATGGACTTTCAAATGTTCAAATTACTAGAATTATTTAATAGTATTTATATATTCCATTAGAATAGAATTTCAAGACATTTTAGAGCTAGAGCTAGAATTTTCGCTTCTCTTCACAGTTTCCAATCAATTTCTGTTTTGTTTTAATATTTTGTAGTTAATTTTTCTCAGTGTACGAGCTCGCTTGTGTGTGTGATTTCCAGTTGCTGTTGCTGATCTCTCGTCCATTGCCCCCCGACGACGACGACCATGCAGCACGGAAACATTTTTCAGCTGCCTTTTCTCTCTGTTGACACAAATCATTCGCTGGAAGTGTCGCTCCCGTTTCCACTTCTCCACCTCACTCACTCTCCCGCATATCTCTCACTTCCTCTCTCTCTCTCTCTGTGACGTTTTCTCCTGGCGGCCTGCATTTATTGTCTACTTTTGTGTGTTTGCATTTGGTGTCCAAATGTGTGGAGGAGGCCCGGCCTGGCCCTGCCTGCTGTCCGTATCGGTTACACTCAAAATGGAAGGGAACAAAAAAACAAGCTGCAGACAAAGCTGGCAAAAATGTTTGTACAGCACAGCGAAGAGTGCTCCATGGATGGCACATGGATAGTGGAGAGAAAGAAGTGTCTTTGCGGGTCTTCTAGAACTGTATTTATGTTTGCCAAGCAGTTAAAGAATTTAATCTATGTACATTTTGAAGTAAACAAAAAGGAAGGAGGAATATGGAAACTGATTGAAGCTGCCCAAGCAATCAAGAGAAAAAGCAAAAGATTAATGATATTCCCCAGCAGTCAAAATCCCTTTCAAGTATCCTTTTTGGCACTCCATTCAGCTGCATGGCCAAGTTGCTGCCAAACGCGAATCAACATTCCGTTTGCCAACATTCCTAACCCAGAAAAAAAAAGAGAACAGAACAACTTGATGAACATTTTTGCACATGTCTATTTGGACCACGACGTATACCGCACTCTATCCACTCCAGTCCAGTCCAGTCCAGTCCAAGCCAAACAAAGAAAATAATATGTAATTCAAAACATTGTTGAAGTGTTCTAGTTTTTGTTCCCAGAGTGTGTACACACAAACAGGAAGGCTCTCGTGCCTTGGGGAACGAAGCTTAAGCTACCCTGCCAGATCTAACACTCTAAAGAATATCCCTTAAAGATTGATCACATTTTGGGTGCTCCTGTGGCTCATCCTTAGGCAAGGGTATCCAAACTACTTACAGCAGCAGCGCATTCCATAAGTTCCATGTTGGAACTTGACCAGTTGCCGTTTTTCTTTGCCAAGCCAAAGCCAAGCCGTTACTCGAGTGGCGTTGCCGCCTATCCATCGCATCATCATGTGGCATCAGTCCGCTCTTTGGCTGCTGCTCCTTTTCCATTTCCACTTCCATCTTGGGAGCCATCCAACTCGACTCGTCTAATGGATGTCTCTTTGTTTGGGCTCTGCATCTCTCTCGTATCTCGCTTATTGATGCTGCATCTCTCAACGACTACCACTCGACATCCATCCATGGCTCCACCTTCCGGCTGTCCGCTACAGTGGGGAGTTACAGCTTCCAGCTCCCAGCTCCCAGCTCCACTCTCTACCTAGCGGATTGAAATTGCGCAAGCAAACAAACACATCCATTTTCCAGTGCTCTTCCCTTCTCTTCCCTTCCCTTCCTGTTTGTTTGGATTCCCACTATCGGCCATTGGCAGTCGCTGCTCTCCAATAGAACCCAAAACCAAACACATACACACATCGCCGTCTATCCACCTCCTGGTTTTCCGTTGTCGAATAAATTTAAACAAACAAAAAATTGGGTTTTTGGCCAAGCGTTTACTGGACCATGTCCAGCCAAAAAGTCGAACTGCCTGTCTCTCAATGCTGTTCCAAAATCGAAACATTATGCAAATGCTCTTTGATATTATTGAAGAGTTTGGACAGAGAGTAAACACTGATCCATTTTGTGGTACATGGATGAATGGATTTGGGTGTTGAATAGTGGGGAAAACCTTTGTGAAATGTGTAAAAGCTCATAGCTTCTGGCATTTGGCTTATGTTAAAGAAATTGGCAGTTACATGTGCATTTTGTGTAGATTAGCATGGGATTAACCAGCTCTTAACAGCGTAAAACGAGAGGAGCATAAATGAGCCCGTAATCATGCACGGGACATGTTTGCTTGGAAATGTCTTTAGAAGCAGACGCTGCTGCGTCTTAATGAGAGCTAGAAAGTTCCCTCTAGCTGTAGATATATTTTTAATCTATAAATGAAAGAATGTTTGTACGAAAATTTGCAGGATCTACTCCCGTTTTTATTTGATATTTGAAGGCAAGAATTTATAATCCAAATCGAGTTCTGCTCTCCGACTGCTGATCCCATCGTAACTTGTAAAAATTGCAATTATCACTGCAATAAACTGCACTAAATTTGTCCGAAGATTTGCATCTCGGCTGCTACAATAATTCCAGCAATTTGATCTAGTTTTTGGTAACCAGTTCCACATGCCATGACCATGCCATGACCATCTCTTCCCAAAAAAGGGAACGAAATGCATGCAAAAAACAAGAAAAAGCAAAACAAAGGAGCGTTGGGGAAGCAGTAAAAGCAAAATGGCAAAAATTGTGTCATAACATTAGCCGTAAAAACGAGTTGGCCTAAAACCTGAACCTATCCCAAAAAACCAAGCGAAAAATGACGCCAATAAAGACGATGATCACAATGATGATGATGATCTTGCTGGGTGTCTGCTCCGATTGGGGTTCGGAGACCTGTTTTCAAGACCACTGCAGTGCAGCCATCCATGGATGGTGATGTCTCTCCAAGCCAGTCCTGCACGAGTATGTTGACTTATGGGCCAGAGACAGAGACAGAGCCAGAGTTAGAGCCTGTTTGACAAAAGTGGGTCGACTTGGTCTTGGTTTTCTTGCTCTTGCTCTTCGTCTTTGCCCATGTGTGGAGTGTGTGTGTGGAATGTGATTTTTAGCCTGTACAATGTGTGAAAATGGCCTGACAACAACTTGACTTTATCCCCTCTCTGTCTCTCTCTCTCTCTCTCTTGCAGCGAATGTGTTTCAATGATGTTACTGCCTTCGGGGCGTTCGAATAGTGATGTCTATCCGCTACAAAGTGCCAACAGCAGCACAACAGCAGCCTCTGCCGGAGTCAAGCCCTTGCTACTGACACGAACATCATCGCCACAATTGACAACGTTGCCCACAACAAATGGCACCAACGCCCACACGACACCCGTACAACCAGTGAATGGTGTAGCAGGAGCAGGATCCTACTCACAGTCGCAGTCACAGTCACAGTCACAGACCGGAACAGCAGCAACAACGGCCAGAGCAACGGAGGCGACAACAACAACGGAGCCTGTCAGCAGTGGAATTGGGGTCGACGTTGGCCCTGCCACTGCCACCGGCACTGGCATCTATGGGCCACTTTTGGGTCAAAACCAGGGACATGGACAAGGAAGCAATGCTGCTGGCGTTGCCGGAAATTGGTCCGAAATTGATGGACACTTGGAGACAATTCAAGAGAAGCTAAAGCCTGGCTGGACCGTGCACTCAGGCAAGGAGGGAAGGCTCTATTATTGCAAGTGAGTAGTGAAAGAGTACAAGTGCCATTTATTTATTAGACGTTCCCACAAATCCTAGTATGTTTAATTTGTTTTTCAAAGAATTAAGGGCATTTAGATCGAGGGTTTATGCAAATTAGAATTAATATTTGAGGTACAAAGAGGTGTCCTTCCCTTCTCTCAAAGGCACTTCCAATTGGGAAATCTATCAGTAAAGTTTTTACATAAAATTGCAGTCAGTTTGCTCATCTCTATTCAGTTCTCCAGCTTAAAATTATATTTAAAATGGAGGTTCCCATTATTTCTTGCCTCAGCTCTGCCTGTTGCATATTTAAGCCGAATTAATGATTTATTTGAAGGCATTTACAAGTTTAAGAGAAGTAATAGGATTTGATTGCAAAATCCTTGAAAGTTGTATCTTCTTTATGGCCCATTAAATATTTATTTTCGCAACGAAAGTTTTCGTTTTCGATTTGAGCACTGTCCCCAGTTTGTGAATATCTTTTGCTATTGTTTCACATAATTGTGTCGCCGTTTTATTTGTTATTTAAGAGACTTTGCCATCTTTTCGATGCCTCTTTTAATGTGTAAATTCTGCCAGCTTGAAGCTAAGCTAATTTTGCCCCACAAAAGAATATTAAACAGCGTAGAAAGCCGGACATTTATGTTATGGCATGGGCAAAGTTTCAGCATTTCAATGCCTGTCCCACTGAGTGATGTCCTGGTGTCCTGGTTAGCTGAATGCGAACGTGAATGTGCAAGTGGGAGGTTGGCTGGTTCTCGGCTCTGGTGCTGCACATAAATTGATTATGCGCAAAATTCTATTAAATAATTTTACACTTAGTTGCACATCAAACTGAAAGCGCACAAAATGCCATAACCGAGTGAGTCGACCCACTGGTACGGGTACTGGGTCTGAGACCGAGACTGGGTCTGGGTCTGGGTCTGGCTCCGGGGGGCGATAGAGTGACTGACTGAGTGAACAGCTCTGGTTGGGTCCCCGGCGACATGGACATGGACATGCACCCGAGAAACCCCCCTCTCTCTCTCTCTCTCTCTCTCTCTGTGTGTGTGTGTGTGTGTGTGTGTGTATCTCTGCCTGTAGGAAAGTGTGCAAAAGTGCAAAACTAATTATCACAATTGTGTGCAGCCAGGAAATGAAGAAAGACAGCAACGGAAGCCACCAAGGTGGCCTGATGTGGGTTGGAATTGGATTTGGTTCGGTCTCTGGGCTCCGGCTCTGGTTCTGGCTCTGGCTCTGGGTTTGGCCTGTGGGTTTGGCTTTGCTTTGCTTTGCTTTGCTGTTGCTCTGGCGTGTGGCACGATTATGGGTTGGCTGTTTATTGCATAGCCAAGCAAATAACCCAATTAGCGTTGATTAATGTCAATTGAAATGCATTTTCAGGGTCCAGCCACAGGGAAAAACACAAACAAGGGTACAGTCTAGGGTTAGGCTAAGCCACAGAAACACACACAAGTCTAGCCACAAGTTCAGGGTCAATTTGGTTTTAGGGTGTACATATTTTGGGTATTGCTACGGGGTTATTATTTAAATGGCTCGTTTTGGAGTTAAACTATTATATTCGTGGGCACTGAGATCGTTTAAGCTGTGATGGAGAGAGAGAGAGAGAGAGAGAGAGAGAGAGAGAGAGAGCGTAACCCAGCGTACATCCACCCTTAAGTGCTAAGTCTCACTGGGAGAGAGTAGGCCACAGAGCGAGAGAGTAACTGAAATTAGTTTCTGTTGCTCTTCATGAATATCTTTTACTGGAGCTTTTATCTTAAACTATCTTTTACTGGAATATGTACAATAAAATAACCCTCTATAATTATATCCCCCAAACTAACCATAAAATGATTATACAAACTTTCTCTCAGCCCGCTTTTTATTCCGTGAGTGCAATTAGTTGTTAACATATTTTATAATTTGTGTTTGAATATTTAACCAACATTAATTTGCAATCAATTTACAATATTTTCAATTGCTCCTGCATTTAATGTTAAATCCAGTTAGCCCCTGCCCCCCGCAACAGCCCACCCACATTGCAATTTATATTTAATTTTTAATTGAATTCGAATGACATTTGGGTTTATTTTTGCAGCCACTTGGCACAAACGTCGGGCTGGCTGCCCGCCTGCGAGGATTGGAGCAAACATGAGGAGCTCTCATATGGCTGGGAGCGTGCCATAGACTCCAAGGGACGTTCCTACTACATTAAGTGAGTATTTATCTGCCAAGACCATGCAAGTAAAACAAACCATCTTCAATCTATTTATTCCCTTTAGCCATTTGAACAAGACGACCACGTATGAGGCACCCGAATGCATACGCTGGGACGAGCATCCGCCGGAGCCGCGTCTCGTCCACCTGCAGCGGAATGCCAGCCTGGGCTTTGGATTTGTGGCAGGCAGCGAGCGGCCCGTCATCGTGCGATTTGTGACCGAGGGTGGGCCCAGCATTGGCAAGCTGCAGCCTGGCGATCAGATACTCTCGGTCAACGGGGAGGATGTCAAGGATGCGCCCAGGGATCATGTCATTCAGCTGGTGCGTGCCTGCGAGTCGCAAGTCAGTCTGCTGGTCTGCCAGCCCATGGCCCACTGCATTCTGCCGGGCCGCAAGTCCACGCTGCTGTCTGCGGGCAAGCGGGCCAAGCTGCGATCGCGTCCAAGTCGCGTCCGATTCGCCGAGAGTGTGTGCGTGAATGGAGCGCCACTGTTTCCGGTAAGAGGATAGCAAGGATTCTCCTCCACAATCTTTAATTTCATGTATTTTCAGCCCTCGGCCTTCTCCCTGGGCGACATATGCGTGCCGCCAATGGCCAATGTGCTGAAGGTCTTCCTGGAGAACGGGCAGACCAAGTCCTTTAAGTACGATGCCACCACCACGGTGCAGGATGTGGTTAGCTCGCTGCTGGACAAGCTCTGTCTGTGCTGCGGTGAGCTCTTCAGTTTGGTCCTGGAGCATGTGAAGAGCCTCAAGCGGAATAAGCTCACGCTGCTGGATCCCCAAGAGTCCTTGGCCAGAGTAGGTTTCACCTCCACAGCTAAACATAATTCAATTGTTGATGGTTCTCCCTTTCTAGATTGCTGCACGTCCGGGTGCCCACAAGTTGCGCTGCTTGTTCCGCATCACCTTCGTGCCCATCTCGGCCGCCGAGCTGGCACAGAGGGATCTCCATGCGCTGGACTATCTGTACATGCAGTGCTGCAACGACGTCAATCAGGAACGCTTCGCCCCCGAGCTGCAGCCGGAGCTGGCACTCCGTTTGGCGGCACTGCACATGCACCAGCATGCGCTGGCCAATAATTTCTCACCCGCAAAGCTCACCGTCAAGCTGGTCGAGTGAGTGTAGACCTCGCCCCAAGGCAGATCCTGACCTGACTAATCTCTGACTCTCTTTCTTCAGACGCGAGTTTGGACTGGAACGCTTTGTGCCAGTCAGCCTGTTCGAGGGCATGAAGCGGAAGGAGCTGCGACGGCTGATCTCCCACTTCTTGAAGCTCAATGCGGAGATGACGGGATCGTCCAGCAAGGTTCTAACACAGCTACAGGTGGGCAAAAGACGATGGACAATATAGAATACATATAAACATATAAAAGATACAGAAAATAGCTTGCATTCCTGGCTAAAGAAGATCAATTTCTTGTGCTTAGATTTCCTCTAGAAAGTCTCTAAATATCAATAGAAAATGCAAGGAATAGGCAAAAGAATAACTCTTGAAACCTAATAACCTCTTGAAAGTCTCTAAATATCAATAGAAAATTAGAGAAAAAGTCAAAAGAATAACGGACCCTAACGCGAATAAATACTAATAAGAAAACCCCTAAAAATCTCCACCTTTTGCAGGCCAAACTCCATTATCTAGATATAATTGCTAGTTTACCAAGTTATGGAGCCAAATGCTTCAGCACAAACCAAAGAGAAGGCGTCGAGCGTGTCCTGTTGGTGAGTCCGCGCTTCGGCCTCAGTCAGATATCGAGTGCACGCAATTCGGTGGTGAGTTATGACCAGAGCCCCAACGAAAGACCTTCACTAAACCTTCACTAAAATCTCCCACAGCCTCAACCAATTTCAGCCATTGAGGACTTCACCCACGTGGTGGTGAATCGCGAGGATGATGTCACCTGCAGCGTGTCCATCTTTATGCTGGGCGATCGTGCCGTCAAGTTCATCATGGAGGATCGGGATGCGTGCGAGTTTGGCCTGGTGCTGGGCGGCTACTATCGACTGCTGACGGGTGAGCTAATCCCATGCTGGATTTCTAAGAGATTTCGAATGTTTCCTTCTCCCTTCCCAGGCAATATGCTAAATCTGCTAAGGGAAAGAGATCCCTCGGATGAGGATAATGCACCGGGTTTCCTCTCCCAGCACACGGTGCTGCCCGCCGGCTGGAGCTATCTGCTGCCGTACCACACGCGTGCGCACAGCGTCAACTTCCTGATGACGCCGCCCTACCATCCCGTGACGCAGCTGCCCCCACAAGTGGGCGCTCCACTGCAGGCTCAGTCGTTGCCGTATGTCATGGACTTGGATCTGCACAGCGTTATGGCCACGGAGCTGCTGGAGGAGGCGGCCAAGGACTCGGGTCTCAGCGACAGCAGCGGCAGCAACTACTGCGAGGGTCGCATTCAGTCCTCCCATCAGATGGCCAGCGTGGAGGCCAAGAACGAGCAGGTGCTGCGGCGTGTGCAGGAGCTGCAGCATCTCGTCCAGACCTCCGAGCAGTATCTGAGCGAGCAGGAGCAGGGCCTCTCCGGCGGTGGCCAGACAATGGCCGTCCTCGAATTCGACTCGGACTGTGACAGCCTCAACAGCAGCAAGGTCTCCTCCACCGAGGAGACTTCGAATGTCCTCAGTCTCGTTGGCGCCTTGCCACCGGGTAATCCCCTCAAGCACAGCGATTCGCTGACGCTGCTGGCGGAGACTATCAGCCACGATCTGAGCGGCATTACGCAGGGCCTCAATGCCATACCGGAGACGGCGCCGGTGTCCTCCTCGGCTCCCGCCACCCCGGCCACGCCCAAGCGAAAGCCGAGCCTCTGCAGCACCTCCAGTCCGCGGCCCCAGCGGAAGATGAACGGTTTCAGCCAGCTGCTGAGCGATCTCCAGGCACTGGGAACGGACTTTTCGCAGAGCGAAAGCGACTCTGAGTCGGTGGCTTCGCCCGCCCAATCGCCCACGGCCAGGAGGCCTCAGATAATGCTGCTCCAGGCAGCAGGTGCGGGCTGCGGTGTATCCGGAGGATTGGTGGCACCCAAACAGCCGCTGTCGCAGCGCAGCAGCTTCGGGCTGCACAGTCCCGATGGCAGTCACTTTGGCGCCGAAACGAAGGACTACAATCTGCGGGAGTATCTGCAGCAGCTGAAGGAGATCAGCAATGCCTCGTCGGCGGACACGGATGTGGCGGCGCGCCAGCTGTCCGAGATCTATGGCTTCGAGGTGCGCGAGGACACCTTCATCGAGACGGACACGGATGTGATTGATTTGCGTGCCATACCACCGCCCCAGACGCCCGATGAGCTGGACTCCCTGTCGCTGATGAATGCGGCGCCACCCAAGGGCTTCGAGGGACGGGCCGAGGAGTTGGATAGCTTCCTGCAGCAGATAATGGTGGCGCCGCCCACACAGAAAGCCACGCCCGCCAAAGAACTCACACCGGAGGAGATTATGTCGTTTATTATACCACCGCCGCCGAATCTGGAGCAGCAGCAGCAGCAGGCGCCACAACAGGCGCCACAACAGGCGCCACAGCAGGCCATGGAGACGGAATCGTTGTACAGCAATTCGGTGCAGGCAAAGCGGGAGTTCTTCCAGTCAGTGGCTAATGGGAATAATGTGAACAACAGCAGCAGCAAGGAGCAGTCCCCACATGTCATCGAGTATGCCACTGTGGAGCGGAAGAGCAAATTTAGCTGCTGTCCCACCACCAAGAAGGAGGAGCCAGCCACTCCAGCAGCTGTAGATCCCGAGGTGCAGCCACCACCCAGAACACCCACCGCTGAGCAGTTGTCACCGCCACCGGCACGACCACCCAAGAGCGCAGAGCTTCTGCAGCGTTATTCGCCCAAGAAGCAGGTGAGAATTATGGCCACACATCAGCAACAGCAGCAACAGCAGCAGCAGCAACATCAGCAGCAGCTGCAACAGCAGAGGGACAACAGCAGGGGACCACCACAGCTGCCACCTAGAGGCAGTCCCACCTTCGATACACAGCAGGCGAATGCCCCAGCGGCTGCCATAATGTCGGTGAGTGGCCCGAAGAAACCCCCACTGCCGCCCATTGCCAGTCGCCCGCGTCCAACGAATGGCATGTCTCCAGCTGCACCACCTAATCCTGCATCCGCAACACCCGCCCACTACTCACCGCCCATACCGGCCACGACACGCCTACCCAATGCTCATTCCAATGGCCATCAGCAACAGCAGCAGCAACAGCAGCAGCAGGTTCCTCTCGTACCAAAGAAGCCCCAGCAGCTGCACGGCGAGAAGCTATTCCTGAAGAATGGCCACCTGATCGATGGTGAGGCGCTGCTGGGCAAGACGGATGTGGCCATGGCCGGACTGCTCATCCGACTCGATCAGGTGGCGGCCCAGTGCTCGGCCGCCCAGTCAGCGGGCGGTGGAACGAGCATCGACGAGGAGAAATTCCAGCGGGCGCGCAACGAGCTCACGGAGCAGACACTGGCCCTGGTGACGGCCAGTAAATTCCTGGTGGCCTCCATGTCGGACATGACGCTGATAACGCTGCCCGAGCATCTGACCTCCTGCCTGACGGCCATCCGACGGATCACGGAGCTGGCACAGGACATGACGCGGCACACATCGGCACCGCTGCAGACGCGAAATATCGTGCTGAAGGTGCACGATGTGGCGAGCAGTTTCCGGGAGCTGGTGGGTGTGCAGATCGGACCGATTGGCGCCGGACAGTTGGCCCTGCAGGCCGAGTGCTTGGCCAATGTGCTGGCCACTCTGCTGCGATCGTTGCGGGTGTTCTCCCCATAGCCCAACGGAAGCACAGGCGGCGGATCCAATCCCAACCCTGACAACATATCGCACGCTCGTCTATCTACGCAACTCTCTCTATGTAAATCCCTATATACAACCTACATCTAGGATGGCAGCTGCAGCCCCAAAACTACTATTTACATATATACTACCCCATCATAATGTATCAACGAAATATCAACTCTCGAAACTATTTTACAGGTAAAGGGCAACTTCAGAGAGTCGGCGGTCTGATCTGATGTACTCTTTAGGCTTAATCCTTATCAACACTGGAACATTGAAGCTCAAACGATGTGTGCGGATCGTCTGTCTGTGTGCGGTATGATGGAATATGCTATAGAAGGTCCTCCCTGACACAATTTGATTTGTAATTTGCAACTGGCAAGGATTCTCGAGGCAGCTCCAAAAGCTCTTCAATCGTTCAAGGATTTTAGTGAAGTTTTCCTAAAGCATTTATAGCGTACTTTTTGTAACTATTTAGATAGTTGTGCAATCTGTCGAGCAATGTGTCTGTCATTTTGTTACTTGTGCAGTGTTTTTATGCGAATGTTTTTAGTGATTTTTAATTTATACGATTGAAGGCAACTCTCTCTTTTTAAATCGTTGATATTTTTGTAGTGTAAAGCAGATTGAAAGCCAATAGCTGAAAGACTGTCCTAACTCAATTTTGACTTATTCCACCAGTGTCATATCTATTTACAAACTCTAAGACCTGCAGCTTATTCCATCATACATATCTGAGCGATCTACAAAATAAAATATCTCGCAAAGAACCAAAACAAAAAAAGAAAAGGATAAGATATCTATTCTAAATCATAAAGAAATCACTTTCTCAACTTAACGCATGCAACTAACTCGAATTTCTATGTGTATTCTCCTAAAAATCAAACTATTTTTAAACTATACAAATTATATACAATACAAATAATACTTATATACAACAAAATATCAATCACTCGAATTATTGGTAGAGCCCCCACTCTCTCTCTCTCTCTCTCACTTTTTGATCCCCCAAATAGTACCAATTGAATGTGAAAACACCCATGACTTGATTATCTAGACCAATTTATACTTATGATATGATGATGAAGTGAAACTAACGGACATATAGGTTTATTTTTTAATTATGCTATTAGTATATTTTCTTATGTACATAATTTACACACACACACACACACACACAAAACACATACTCAAGCATACATACCACATACATACCTAATACATAATATAATACAAGTAAATATACATTAATATATTATTATAAAATATACAAATTGACCAAACAATAATCAAAATTTTAACTTGTGATATAAAAACAAAAGAAAAATTAAAAAAGAAAATCCATAAAAAAATACATAATAAATAAATACATAAAAACGTAATTTTTCCTTCTTTTTTTAACAATAAAAGGAGTAGCATTTTTTTGTATGGTTTATTCTTTGTTGTTAACAAACGATCGATCGACTATAAATCTTTTTTGTTATTGTTTTATGTGTCATAATTTTTGTTGTAGATGTTTTTGTTGTAGTTGCTGTTGTTGTTATACGTACAAGAACGCACACTAAGTTGTAGCTTTAACTAATTATATTTACAATAATTATTCGTAGATAATCAAAGAAAGTAAACCTTAAAAAAGATTTAAATATGCAAGCAAAACTAATCGATAACAAATTGTTTTTATTTGCTTATAATTTTTGTTGAACAGAAAAATAATCACACACAAACACAACAACACACACATACGTACAATATTACTCGTATCATAACCATATGGGATATTACTAAAGAAATATACAAATATGACTTAAAATTACTATTAATAATATTAAGTAAACCATATTCAAATGTACAATGTAAAACAATGTAATGATTTAATGGCAAAAAAAAACAAAAAGAGAACAACAAAATGCATATGCAATTGTATGAAATAAATTTAATAAATAAACCAAAGGCAAAAGTTGTGAACATTTTCAGTTGAATTTCAATTTAAATTTCATGAACGGCTGCAACTGTCTTATCAGCCAGCTACGCCTCTCAGCTGTCGCTAGCTGCCTGCTGTGGCACCCATAGCTGACCCAGCCATGGCCGCAGCTACATATGAATGCAGTGTTTATCGATGCTACCATCTCATGCAGAGGGTTCTAATTTGTCACACCTGAACCAATAAACACGAAATAAAATTTGCAAACCTTGTTACTTTATTGTGGGTGGCTCAAATTTGGTGATTAAATAGTTTCATATAACATATTTCAAAAATGTGTCTCAGACGCCATCTACCTCTAAAATATACCATGGGGCAGCATGCACAAGCTACCTGCTGCGGGTGACACACAGTCAAGTTAGACTAGTTTGGTGGTTAAAGTTATCGCACAGAAGTATGCATGTTGATATTCTTAACATTCAAAAAATGTATCTACGTTTCATCAGCAGCAGCATCTGTCATATCGTCATGTATTGACATGGAATGTATATGAAAGGGTTATGAAGTCATCATTAATGATTAGGAGAAAACATAATTTGAATAATAATTAATGAAAATAGGGTATAAAACAAAACATACTACCGGATGACAAGCCACAAGTTGTCCATGTTGTCCCACTCACCTAGTTTCTGTTATTTTTTTGTTGTTGATCTTTTTAGCTATAAACTTAATTTAAAAACATTCCAATTAAAGGAAGTCGTAAGAAGCAAACAATATTGTGTAGAATTGATTGATAAGTTAGATAAAATTATACTTTTAGAGCTTAGAATCCTAATTAGCTAGTAATATTAAAAAGAACATCAAAATCGAGAAAAGTTAGTATACGTTAGTGTGAACGTATAATATTTTTGGTATATTTCTGTGAAATTTCTGTGCTCATATTTGAAACGAAAAAATGAGGAGAGAAGGTATATTTTGGTATATTTTTGAAGGTTGTGCGGTATATTTTATAGACAATTCCGCGGTCACACTGGATCTGTTTTTAAATTTTTAAACTTTTAAAGTAACTTTTACCCAGGCCTGGCTGTCGGTTTTTACGAGGCAGAGCTGCGGCAATCGAGAAAAATTGTTTGTTGAATCGCCGAGGTTCTTGTGTGTTAAATGCTCTGCCCAAGCAGAGTAGTAACCGAAATCCGATCCACGAAAATTAAAATCAAGAATTAAGTAAGCCCGGAAGTGTAAACAACAACAACAAGTAATACGAAAAGAAAAGAAGGAAATATTCATCTTCCTGCTTTTTGGCATCGGGCCACAAAAAGAAGGAAAGAAAAGTGCGCAAAAAAAAGAGAAATAGCAACTGCACTTGCAATTGCAAGAAAGAATCGAATAAAATAAAAATAAAAATACGGAAGCCAATACACAAAAATCTACACATGTATTGTCGGTTTGAAAGTTCTTCTTTTGTGCAAAAGAAATAAAATTACTCGAAAGAAATACATCAACAGCATCCGCAAGAATCGAATCTCTCTGTTCCTATCTCCCTCTCTCGACGAAGCAGCAGAAGCAGAAAAACAGAAAAAGAATCTTTGCTGTCAATTTGTTACACTACCCACAAGGCACCCCCCCTGTAAACCAAAACACCCAAAATTCGCAGAGATTTATGCTGAAGGCGATTCCACAAAATGGATTATAAATTCATTGTTTTTAATGCTGCCCGCGATAATAATCTGCCCCAATTGAAGGTGAGTTCATACATACAAAAAAATAAACGCCTCTCACCCTCTCTCTCTCTTTGGGGCCTGTGAGTGGGTGAAAATGCTTGGCTTCGTGGCAGCTCAACAGCATCCACTTCTTGCAGTCAGCAGATATAACATTAACAAGGTTTAATTGTATTAAAAAGAAATCTCAGCTGGCTGTGTGTTAGGCCTTGTGACTAATCAATAAAGTTCTCACCAAAACACACATACACATATGTATAATTCCCTCTCTCTGTCTGTCTCTCTGGCTGGTAAGCCGTGCACGCGCATGTTCTGCCCACAGTGATGGCTAGTAAATCATTAAAAACTAGCTGGAAAGAAGCTAAAATAATGCGAGATTTCTATGCAGAAAACAAAATTTAAATCTAAGTAATTAAACTCTGGAAGGTCATCCACAATTAAATCTACTCTTGAAATTCATTTAAAAAGTATTCGATTCCACCCTTTCGGGGTGGATTGATACTCAATGGTCACTGGGTGGTTTTCCCTCTAAGTGTGCCTCCCAGTGTCAAACAATTCCATTCGAAATAATCTAAATATTTCTCAATTTTTGTTGCGGAGCAACAGCTCATCATTGATTTGATGATACTCGTATGCTAATTTTTGAGCATGTGCATTAGACAGGTTTTTAATTTTAGCTGGTTCTCTTTTTGCACATTTGCCTAATCTGGCAGCTGGAACTGGTTATACTCAAAGAATCTATAGTGTTAGCTATTTCCTTAGCTACATTTCTAGCTGTTTTTTAAATGAGAGACCCG